TTCATGCAATTAAATTTCAACTTCTGCACTCATTTTCAACTTTAGCTACTGTTTATACTTAATTAATGTGCTCTCAGCAGCATATTGAAATTTCTGCAGGCATAATATTATCCACAAAACAGGAGAATCATTGCCCCCTCCCTCCCCCCTTCCCTATATAACTTATAAACAAGTGGTACTTACTCTGCGACTTTCTCGTCTGTCTCTTTTGGGTGTTATCTATCTGTCGGGGAAGTTTGTCAGGGGGTCCTAGTAAAACAAGAAAGCAGTGTTTTGGTGAAGGAAACTCAACAACTTAGTTGATCGTGCATTACTTGCGTCCGCGTCACTTGACGAAGGTCGCCTTAAGCCAAATAACTGCACTGCGTATGAATATTTTCACAAGATCTTAATTATCTTAATTAAAATTTTACAAGTTACACCCTTTCCACAAGTTAAATGTATTAATTTCTAGCCTACCACCAACGTTATGATCATCATGATCCCCGAGTTTCCCCAAGCTCCTCCTCCACTTCCTTTTTCTTGCTGCTCTTTCTTGCCTACTGTCCTCTTGCTTGCTTGCTTAGCTGATCGTGACATTACTTAAAACAGCCAACCTTTTGGCTGCAGCAAGCTTGTCACATCGATAGATGTTCTTATACTCCTTTGCTGGAATTGAATCTTTATTGATATGTTCGACAGGATTTGTTGTGTCAGGACACGCTGACCAGTTACAGGCCTCCATCTCTGTAAAAGCAGTTGTGAACATTTCTATAAAGAAGCATAGAGTAACGGTTAATATTAGACTACAACCCTACCTAACTCGTGAAAGGATGGTGGAAGAAAAATAAACACGATGATGAAGATGCACGCCTAACTGTTATTACTGTCAACGGCAAATGACTTTCAATTATAACTTAAAGCGTTAACTTAAAGGCGTTTGTGGCATCATGGGGAATTTGAAGAAAATAAAATTAACTTACTCAAGTGCTCCTCCCTTGTCCACCACCTTTTCCAATTGTGCAGCTTTTTCCAGTTATCATTCTCTAGGTCTGTCATGTCATCTGGAAGAAGGTGTTTTACAGTTGTGATGTTTAGATCTCCGGCAAGTACATTAAAGATTTTGTAAACCTCATCCTTCGAATTGGACGTGGCAACTTTATCTGCCAGCAGACGGAAAGCTCTTATAGATGAAGCTGTGTCGCACACTCTGGTACTAACTTTCATTACTGACCTCTTCCAGTGTACCTGCCAAAACAATTTTAGATATATCACTTCAAAATTGCATTTTTCGTCCGTTTTGGTGTTTAATGCGTTGGAGAAGACGCTAAATGGCTGGAGTACTTCAACTATAACAGTGGAAGGGCCTCCGATAATTTAGTATTTTCACGGTCACTTTTGGTTGGCAATTGTTTCTGAGGATATTCCTGAACGGACACTCCACCATAGTATAGTAGTAATTTTCATCTTCGTTTGCACCCTTACTTTCCCCTAGGACTAAACATGGAGTTAAATAATTCTAAGACTAATTTGAAATATGTACCTTGCAAC